GAGAGAGAGAGAGAGAGACAGACAGACAGACAGACAGACAGACTTAGCCAAATTATTTGGTTGATAGAATGTTAAATCCACAAAGCACCTATAATGGTGGTAAAAATGAATCCTACCTCCCAGTGCTTAAGCATGATGAACCATTGCTGTAGCATGAAATAATAATGGGAAAAGTCCTGAGTGACATTGCAGTATCAGCAAAGCTAAGCTTATTTACCAACCCCCACCACTTCACACAAAGACATGCATTTCTTAGCCTGTTGGAGAACATTGCCTATCTTATCATCATGGAAGTAAAACCAGTTCTTGTTTATCTTTTTCAGAAATGGACATAAGCCTTTCCTCTGAAGGGCTTCCTTCCACTGGGACTTCCTGACTCCAGAAGCCTGGAATAGTGGGATTCCTGTGAGGGGAGGGTATTCCACAACTGCACATGGAAACAACTAGAAAGCTCTTGCAACAGTACTTAGAGCAAGGCAAGGACCAGACTAAGCTTCTCTTTCTGCACTTCACCTCCCTCATCTGCATACAGGCTTTCTTTTTGTTTGGTTTTTGTTGTTGTTGTTTCAATTTTTGTCAGTTTGTTTGTTTGTTTTTTAAAGACAGAGTCTCATGTAGCCCAGAATAGCCTCAAATTTGTTACGGGGCAAAGTCTAGCATTGAATATTTGATGGTTCTGCCTCTGCCTCCTAAGCGTTGGGAATACAGATGTGTTTCAGCACACCCAGCCACTAGGATTCCAGTGGCTCTATGAGGATCAACACTGTTTGTTTGAAAGATTAAATGAGCTAAAAATATTACCTGAATCACTGGGAAGTCTTGCCAGAAGTTTGTAGCTGGCATCATATTAACATATTTTTGACATTATAATTGTTATGTAGTTCTATAGTACTTAGAGTATGGTGTGTAATTGTGCGAGGTGCTAGAGGCACAAGTCCTAGGGACCTGTGTCTGTGATGGCTGTGGTCTGCATTTGGCTTTTCAGGAACCCCCCGCCACCTGAATTCTGCAGTGGCTGCTCCAGTCTACAGTCCCACCAGCAGTGTATGAGGGCTCCCCTTTGCCCAAATTCTCTCCAGCACTTAATACAGTTTGCTTTTTGATGCTAGGCCTTCTATATGGGGTGAGATAGAAGCTCAAAGCAGTTTAAATCAACATTTCTATGATAACTATGGATAGTGAGTGTTTTTTTTCAAAGATTTGTGGGCTATTTGTATTTCTTCTTTGGAGAATGTTCTATTCAATTAATTAGCCAATGCATTGATTAGAATGATGACTAGGGAGTGGTGTTTAATTTTTGGAGAGGTAAAGAGTAGTACATTTGATGTGAAAGAAGGGGGGCTATTTAGCAGGAGGAAGGGAAGCGGGAAGAGGTAGGATGCGGAGTAGTCTTGGAAGGAGACAGAAAATGACAATGGGGGAGGGAGTTGGAGGACAGTGGGGGAGGGGCAAACAAGAACAAAATAAACTGACACTGTATATGAAAATGCTATAATGAAACCTGTCACTTCATTTAGTAATTAACACAAAACTGATCTGAGCTGCCCCATTTGTGTGTTAAGAATGTATGACAGAAGTTAAGCCACAAGGAAGGTAAAAGAAGATGACCCGAAACCAACAGTAGAGAGGATTCCGGAGATGATGTTTCCATAGAAACAATAGAAAGATTCTCCAGAGTCAGAAAAAAATAAATGCAGGAGCCCTCAGACTAAGTGCAAACACTAGCCTTATATGAAGACAAATACTTGAGATAGACATATCAGAAGAGCAAAGAGAGGGCAGATTCCGCACAAAGAAGCCACCGCACTGTTAAGAAGGCAATCAAAACCAGGGGTACCGTCAGACAACCATGCCCTAAAGGTTCCTCTGAGTCACCACATTATGCTTTTCAGCAAAATAAAAAAAAATTCAAGGAATGAAGCAAGATAAGAAACAAAAACTAACAAAATCCAGTGTGTGATAAAAATATAAATAAATATTAAATTATTATTTATATTTGAGTATGTGGATGCTTGTTAGACACGCTGCAATTATACTGTGGAAAATGGCCAACGATACTGAAGAGAGGAGCCTGATGTTTCCAGAGAGCAGCAAAGTCAGCCAGAACTTTGTCCAGAGGCTAATAATACCAGAACAAAATAAACAAGTTTTAAAAAGATAGAGTGAAATGTGGGGATCATTGCTATTAAGTCAAAGTGCAACTTGGGCTCCTAAACACTGCCATGGAAAATACATCAGCAAAACTTTATCATTCAAATGTATTTCAGGCATCAAATAGAAAACGATTATAGTGAGACATGAAAGAGATTAACATTGAAAGGCAAGATCACCTCAGGTTGCTGTGGTGAGTAAGTGTTAAAAGTCCTGCTAAACAATGTGGAGGTTCTGGATATATTTGAGACACCAGCTAAAAATGCCAATGAAATGAGGAGAGGGAGAGAGGAAGTGAGGGAGAGAGGAAGAAGGAGAGAGGGAAGAAGTGAGGGAGAGAGGGAGAGAGGGATAGAAGGAGGGAGGAAGGAAGGGAGAGGGAGAGAGAGAGAGAGAGAGAGAGAGAGAGAGAGAGAGAGAGAGAGAGAGAGAGAGAGATTCATTGATCCACTGATTCTGGAATTCTTTCTCTTTTCTTAGAGTACACAACGTGGTGGAATTCATTGTACATACTATTTGGTAAGAAGTCTTTTACTGAAATTAGCATAGAGGAAATCAGAGAAAAATGTTGGGGTTGAACTCACAATCAGAACATTAACTTGATTTAAAGGACTTAAAGGAAAAAGCATAGAATTCTAGATTTGTTTGTTTGTCTTATTGACATGCTCCCTTTATCAATGCATCTTTTTTAAAATATTTAAGTTCGGGGCTGGTGATGTAGCTCAGTTGAGAGTGCCTGTCTGGCATGCACCAGGCCCCAGGTTCAATACCCAGCACTGCATAAACACTGGTCGTGGGTGCACTCCGACAGTCCCAAGCTGAAACAGGAGAAAAAGTTCAAGGTCGGGAGGAACTGGAGAGATGGCTCAACAGTTCTGAGCACCTGCTGCTCTTCTGGAAAATGGGAGTTTGATTCCCAGCACCCACATGGCATCTCACAACTGTCTGTAGCTCTAGTTTCTGGCTGCTGGGGCACTGCGCACAAGTGGTGGACAGCCAGAGATGCAGGTAAAGGCCCACACTCACAAAACAAAAATTCAAAAGAAAATGTTTGAGAAGAAATGTAAGAACACCCTGGACTATCCTATATAAGGAACTAGAGGCCAACCTGGGCTAAATTAGATACTATCAAAAAATCAACCTGGGCTAGATTAGATGTTATCACAAAACCAAACCAAAGAAAACTAAGTGTATTCAATGAACAACAAATTACTCTGAAATTCTATATTTTATCTGATACCTATCTACAGGATTTCTATCTATTTTCCCTCCACTTGGCCCAAAGTATATTTTTGAATCTTCATGATTTTTTTTTTTTTCGCCTTTCTTATGTTGGCTCCAGATGTCCGTCAGACCACAAGCAGCTTGGCCTAGGGACACAAGCAGAGGCATACTCCCCTGGCAGTTTCCACTCCTGTTAGCATGAAGGCTTGTTTTCCACTGTGAATGCCTCTGGGTGCCATGGGCCGTCTTGGCCCTTCTTTGGGCAACACCCCTACACTCATGGCGATGTAAGAGGTCTCATGCAAGGTGATTAGCTTGGAGAGAGGAGACGGGGAAACGCGCAGCTTGTGCTGCCCTCACCTTGGCAGAGAAAGCGGGATGCCAACTATGGAAAGGTACAGCCTTCCAAACTTAGGCAGCAGAGCCGCGCTCGAGCCAAGAAAGAACACGTGGTGGCTGTGTGTGGCAGTGACACCTTAAGAAAAATCACTTTGAGTCCCGCGCCTGAACCTTTAACTGCTGTGGGCACCGGCCCAGCTTTCTTCCCAAGTCAAACGTAAAAATGGTTTGAGGAAGCTGGTGCCCCCCAACTCCCGCCCTTGCTCCACTTTTCCTATGGCAAATGTCTGGCAGCTATTTCACAGTGTTTACAAATTACGAAAATTGGGGAACAGACAATTATGAAAATCTTGAGAGGCTGCAGGAGAGAGGTAACTCTTGGAACAGGTCAAGGTAGAAAACAGACTCTAAAGTTTTTGAAAAATGAGCTGCTTGCTCTCCACCTCTGCCAGAAAACGTTGGTGTGGAGGCACATTGCCGCGCTGATCTGAAACCAAGAGGACATTGATACATTCAAAGCTGGGAGAAGCGTGGAGGCAGGGCCAGACCGTCACAGCTAAGCAGGTCGGTTTCTGAATCTATATGTACCTCTTCCATGGAAATATATGAAAAAAGAATAAATTCTATAATCTAAAAGAGAGGCGATAAATTTTGAGTTCTCTCTAAACAGGACAGCCTGCTTTCACGTGTGACCTTGCTCTTTCTGTGCCATCTGGAATAAAAATCTAGTTGTCTACCGCCATTCGTTTTCTGTTGAATAAAATAAATGTGTGTTCAGTAATAATGAAAAGGATATAAGTACATTCTAGACTGCTTAGAAAGCTGGTTGGATTTCATGATAGATCATAATAATTTAACAAATGTTTTTTTTTCCACAATAGCGCTCTTTCTTACAGAAAATTTCTGTAGCTAATTTTTTATGTTAACCAAATATGTGTGTGTGTGTGTGTGTACATAAATAGTACAATTGTCCTTTGCCCTGCAAAAAAGATGAACCTCACAGTCAAACAAATATTGTATAGATCATAGATGCTAAAATAATTTTAGAATATAACTATGCCCAGTCATATTCAGAAAATAAGACCTTCTGTGTTTGTGGCATAAAGCTCACTTTATCTTCCACTCCACAACTTGGCATATTGTTACGTTATAAGGCCATCACTATTATCTTAAAATGCATTAAAATCTTAACAGTTGGCTGCGTTTTCATAAGCAGTTCCTGAGTGACAGTAGGTCTACATTTGAAGACTCAAATTCAGAATTTTTTGATAGCTTTTATGGATTTCCACATAAAATCTCATCATTTTTGATTCTGACTGATCTCATCATTCTTGATTCTGACTGATGTGGACATTGTTAATAAAATAATGGAGACTTTATTAGCTGACACAATGTAAGAAGCTGTGGCCTCATTTTCAACACCCTTCCCCTTGCCACTTGTATCCACAAGAAACGGGCTCAGCTCTGGTCTGCAGCTCTTATTTTGATGTCAGAAGACAAAACACTGACAAAATTTCCCCAGACTTGCCATTATTAAGGTCATCATTTCCAGAAAGTACAGCGTGTGACAGAGAGAAATGAAAAAGAAAGCCAAGAAATGAATTCTTCATGAACAACTTATTTAATTAAATACACAGCTATACATGTAATTTATGCATTCCAGTCATATTTCAATTGGGTATTTGCAAAGATATGGACATAAGCAACTTTAGTTTTCTTATCTGGAGCACAGGAAGTACAATGATAAATGTCTCGATAGAGGCCACGCATGTCTTTATGGCCTGCAGCAGAAGTCAAGGAAAAAAACATGTTTGGCTGGACAGTGCTCATTCCTAGTGGGAATGAGCTCTGGATGTCCCTGGGAGCTTGTCTCACTGATGTGCATAGTCTTAGCATCTTTCTTGGAAATTCAAACAGCCTCATAGCTGGCCGGGTTCACATGGGAGTTTGAATTAACACAAACTCTGTCTCTTGTTAACTCCCCACCCCCAATTTGGGTTCTTTACAGAGGGAAGATTTCCACTTGCCTGGTTGTCCTGTCAGTATATTGCAGGAAGTAATTTAACTGAGCCCCTAGATTGGAGTTAATTATTAATTATGAATTTTATTTATTATCATTATTTTTCATTAATACCAGGGAAGTTTCTAAAATATAGTAGCAAGATAGCCCCATAGCTCAGGAGGTAAGTTTTTGCTGAACAAGCATGAGGAACTTCCTTGTTTCAGACTCCAGTGCCCACTTATTAATAAGTCTCAAGACAAGGAGAGAGCCTTTCTCAAAAGCCAAGGTAGACAAAACCTGAAAAACAAACCCAAAGTTGTCTTCTGGTATGTGCAGATACAAGGGCATCTGCACAGATGTGGACATGACCCTGCACACATACAGACACATACAATCACACACACAGAGAGAGAGAGAGAGAGAGAGAGAGAGAGAGAGAGAGAGAGAGAGAGAGAGAGAATACAGTCCATCTTTGTTCTCATTCTGTCCACAGCAAATTCTGAATTCTGCCTGGCCCCCTTTATGCCCAACCTCCACAGTATACATCCAGAATTTAAAATATCAAGAAAGAAGAATCCAATACCATTTAGTAAAGAGAAATTAATCACAATGTTCATAGCAGAAGTTCTTAGTTTAATGAGAAATTAGTTTGGAAATTAGAATATAAAGAAACTCAATTCCTCAACTCCAGAATGAAATTTAAAAAAAAAAACTTAGCCCTTCTGTATCAACCATTTCTCACTGTTTTGTCACAATTTGGGACACTATCCATGGACTGGCATTTTAACTATGTACGAGTCACCTGATTTTGATGGCAGGCGACAATATTCAAGCATTTGGACATAATAACCATTGTCCTTCCTTGGGCTAGACATGCCTAAGTTAAGCAAACTCTGTCTGTGTTTAATTCTCAAAGAGGAGAAGGTGGAAACAGACTGCTCTAGTTATTTTTTTAAGACAAATAAAAAAGCAGGCTCTTCATTAGAACTGAGGCACACCTGATATGCCGAGACAGGAGATTTTGGTTTTCTTTCTTTCTCTCCTCTTTTTCTCAAAGCCCTTAATAGAATGAGGCAGCTACTGCCCCCTTTTCAATTGCTGTAATCAAGTTAGTCTACATTCTTTCTGCTGAGGTATAATTTTGAAGTCAACAGTGTGTATCTCCCCACATGGACATTTTGGGGGCATTTGGGCACAAACCAAGAACACCTTGTATCCTGTTGTCATGTCTCCAGCAGCCCTGGAAAGATGTATGCACCAAGAACCCTGACCACAGACTCAGATTTACAAGGAGGGGAGGCTGCAAACTAAGGACAAGAAATGGTCTGGAAAAACAGCATACCCATCCATAATCCCATGGAGACTGTTAAACCTGGCGTCTTCAAACAGGGTTTAGTTTGGGGCTTTTTAACATCAACTCCTGATTGTTTAGAATGAGCTTGATATTGCCTTTCAATGTATCCATTTCATCTGCAGTTGCTAGTACAAAGACATAAAATTTTCCATCATTATGGGAAACAAAGGTCTCAGTGAACAAAGCTCCACACATATGTAGGTTGTGTTTACTGATGCATAGCTTCCAACTGTGGCATAGGACTCTATAAACTATTGCTGTATGCCCCAAATTAATGTCTCATGGTTCACCAACCACATTAGACTCCAGCAACCACTGATTCTGCAGTTGTAACCCCAAGGTACACACAATAAACGTATGGATGCAATTGTGTTCCAATAAAATTTTATTTATTAAATATCAAGCAGCAGGCTAGGGAGGTGGTTCCATTGGCAAAGTGTTTATCATGCAAGCATGAGGGACTGAGTTTAAGCTGCAGAACCCAGGTTTAAAAGTTAGTTGTTATGAGGCATGTTTGTAACCCCAGGAGGATCCTTGGGCTCACTGGCTAACCAGCTTAGCCTATGTACAAGGTCAGGTTTCAGTGAGAGACTCTGTCTCCAAAACACAATATGGACAGTATACTGAGTAATGACACCCACCAGTGACCTCTGGCATCCATGTGCATGAACATGAACACTTACACACACACACACACACACACACACACACACA